TTTTTGTATTTTTATAATAAAAATATTTTAACCAAAGAAAACAACCCAATTCTTACAAACAGATAGAAATGGATATTATTCTTGAAAGTCAGTACAGGAAGTGCAGGACCCTTCCAGACATCCCTACAGATGATTGTCCACTTTCTATTTCATTATTTTTAATTTATATATTTTTATTGTGAAACATTTTAGAAATATAAAGATGCTTAGAGAATAATACAATAATCACGTATGTGTCCATGACCACATGTAAAACTTAACAAAAATAGTTGAAGCCCCTTGTGTAACCATCAATTACATTTCCTTTCCTGTATTCCAGTAACTACAGTTCTGAAATTTGTATCTGGAATTACCATTCTTATCTTCCTGACTTTATGCAGGTACCCTTAAAATCTGTATTGTACTGTTTGGCATGTTTGACATTTTATATAAATGGTATCACCCTGTACATATCCTCCTGCAACTTATTTTTCCACAGTTAAAAAAAACAACCTTGTCCATGGCAGGATTCTTTGCATCTAGTTTTAATTTATGTTTCCAATGCTCCAAAATAAAAAAAAAATTTATTATGGGAAGTTTCAAATATATACAAGAGTATATATCCATCTACAAGAGTAGATGGAGTATCATTTTGATACATGCATAATGAACCCCTATGTTCTCATCACCCAGATTTAACAATTATCGACATGTGGTCAATTATATTTCATTCATTTCCCTACTTATTTCCTCCCTTTTTATATTATTTTGAAGCAGATACTGACATCAGTATAATTCTTCCCTAAATACTTCAGTGTGTATATCTGAAAGCTAAGTCCTCTTTTTATAAAGACATAATTAGGTCTTTACAACAGTTTTGAAGTTTAATATTATCAATACCCAATCAGTGTTCAAATTCCATATTTCTCCTGTTTTTACATTTTGTTTGAATCAAGTCTCTCTTTTACTTTTTTTAAACTGCTGGTGGACTACCCTGTGTAAGGCATTAAATATAAAGTTCTACTGAAAATATGTGGGGCTGAAGATCTCAGTCTGAGTGAAGAGCAGCTCACTCCCTCCATCGCTGGGCTCAGAATCTAGACTTCTTCAGGTGGCTTGTGGAAACCATCAGCCATTTCCACAGAAGCCGGGTTTGTTCATCACTGATAATCATATAACTCTGTGATAATGTTGTTTTTTGTTCTTCTTACAGACTGTGTAAAAAGTTCCTGTAACTTTATCTTTTTTCTTAACACCCCATTAGATGGTTATGCTATTACTCAATATTTACCATGTCAAATAAAGACATAAATAATACTTTTCTGTTTACTAATAATCCATGCTAAACAAATACTTATTTCCATCATCCTACTATCCTTGTTCTTCCTTGAAACTGAAGAAGGGTGTGGGATGAGATCAAAGAGTGAGGTGACAGCCCCGTGAAAGTATTGGTGTTAACAGATTGAAACCCATCACGTGCTGTCCATACACAGGTTGCTTTAATAGAACAAGCAGCCTCCTCTCTCAGACATTTTACATTTATATTCACTATAATTCCAATTTCTCCTTAGTTGACCTGTCTTACTTTCAGGCTCTCAGCCATCACTTGGGCTGTTGAAGTCTAATATGCCCTGCCAGGTCCATGGTGCAGTCTTGCTCTCAAAAAAAAAAAAAAGAAAGAAAAGAAAAAAAAGAAAGTGTTGCTCTCGTTGTTAGCGTAATGGTGCTTATGGGACAATTTAAATATTTTACTCTTTCTGGGGTAAAAATAAAAATTATTTGCAGTGGAAAAATGAGACTGCTGATGCTAGTGATTAGAAGCCTCACTCTGCACACACATGTGCACATGCACACACACAAACACAAAAGAAGCCCCACTTTTTTGAATGTGATTGCATTAAGACAAAGATGAGCTCCTTAGGGGTGCTAAGAGGGTGCTAACGAATCTTAAGCCTCAGCTGAACTCTTATATGCCAGATGTCACATGACAGATGACATACTCTGTTGTGAAGGAAAGAAAAAAACATATATATATGTGTGTGTGTGTGTGTGTGTGTGCTGGAAATATGTTGTTTGACACTGATTAAACTGTGAGACATGTTTTAAACTATTTTGGAATGAACTGTCCTTAAAAACATTTAAACAAGATGCATATTTGAAATACACTTGTGTTGAGGTCCTTTAATGGACTGGAACCTGGTGGTCTGGAGTCAACGATAAGAAAGTAAAAGAGAGAGAAGAGGCTGATATTCCTTGGTTTACACAGAAAACCAATAAAGCCCTTCACACGGGGCTTGCACTGCTTCACGTAGGCACAGGGTCTTGCGAGCTCGGGCAAGAAATTGAGCTCAGCAGGCTTCTGAGCTCCAAAGAATTAGCCTGAGAGAGAGAGAGAGAAAGAGAGAGAGAAAGAAAGACACAGGGACCCAAGCTCTGATGGAACAAGGGTGTTTTATTCAACATAGTGTGGGAATATATACTGTCTTACAAGGTAGCTTTTTTCAGCAAAAGATCAAAAGTTCAGACTTACAAATTATCAAGGAAACATAAGGCAATCCATATCAAAGAGAGAGAGTTGTAAATAATCACTTTTACCGTATGGTTCATAAAAAGCAAGAGGGTCGTAAATAGTTACTTATCACCGTATGGAGAAACTAACGAAGGAAATGCATGCATTCCTCAGCCCCTGGAGTAGCCTGCCACTCCTCTAAATTCCTGAATATTTAGGAATTAATAAGGAACAGAGGATTCATGACAGATCGAAAACAGCACACAGAAAGCCTCCTGTTAAATGCTTCCTGACACACTTGACTTTTGAAGATGTTTTCAAAAAACACAAAACTGCCTATAGTTGAATAAGGCTTCCTTTCCCACAGAGCTAGAACTCAGGAGGCAGAGGGAAGGAACCAGCTTAGCTCTGCTCCTGGTCACAGTGCTCAGGCAGCCTGGAGGGGAGGACAGTAGGAGAAAGGGGTGGTGAGCTCCACCCAGGACGAGAAGCCACTCCTCTTTCTTTGGCAGCCCAGAGCAATTATTTCATGAGAACCATCTTGATGACATGTGCCAGTTCACATGCCCCAAATATGCTGCCCAGCTGCATTGTTTCCTGTTGTGGAAGCATTGTATGAGTCATCTGCTGGTATCTGGGTGAAGCAGGAACCTAAGCAGGTCTCACTTGAAGTCTTGTTGACCCTGAGAACCTGGCACTGATTTAGAGCATCACTTAGGACAAGGTAGAGGACTCTTTCAGCAGTTAGGACTGCCAACGTTCCACAGTCAAAACTCAGTGGTAGTCACTGACCTCATGGTCTTGACAGTCTATAGACAGGGTTAGAGGATGCAACATGGACATGCAGGCTTCACCATCTGCTCTGCCCTCGAATTACAGATACACCAAGAATACACATCATAACTGCATCATCAGGAAAAGGAGGGTAGAAGTGCTTCTAGCCCTGTGCCATATTTTAGATCCAACACTTTGTGCACTTATCTTGGAAAAAGCTTTGGGAACAGAGGAAGTCATAGTTTGATGCCATTGTTTGAATTTTACAACATCACTGGTTCAACTTTTCCTTTGATAGTTTCCTAAACTCAGCTATGTTCACTATATATGTTCTTAAGAGGTAAATTCTGTTTAGTAGTAGGGGAAATGGTCATGATCCTTGGGTTAAAATCTAGGTCATACTTTGAGATTATTCCATAGAAGAGAACCTCGGGAAAAACAGAGTTTCATAATGATAATGAGCCACAGCTTTATTCAACAAACATTGTATTTGAGTGAATTGTATTGAGTTATCAATGTTTGGTAACTAGATTGTGAATACTTGTATGGCAAAGAACCAAGTTTTCTTCATCTTTTATTCACTATGGCAGTTAGTACATGGCAGAAATTCAGTAAAGTAGAGCAGAGTAGCTATGTATCTAAATAATAATACTGAGTTGACCAAAATGTTCCTTCAGGTTTTTCCATAACATCATAGAAAAAAACCCGAAAGAACATCTTGGCCAACCCTGTAGTTAGTGTTGAGAATGAGATTATTAATGATCTGTGGGATCCTAGAGGGAGAGATGAGACTGGGGGAACTAAAAATGCTTCAAGGGGTAGTGTTTTTTGACGGATAGATGGACCTTAATAGATTGAAATAGGGGCTATCATATATTGGGTGTTTAATGTGTGCCAGTCACTATGCTAAGCATTTTGCATGCATAATCCAACAGAATCCTCCAAGCAACCCTGTGAAAAAAGCACAATCAATATCCCCAATTTAGTGCTGAAGAGACTTGTGGCTCAGGCAGATTAAGTCATCTTATCAAAGTCACACAGCTGGAAGGTGACAGAGTCAGAACTGAATCTAGTCTGACATGAAGGGTATGCTCTTTAACACAGGGCTATATTGTTCTCTATTTTAGGAAGTGAGACAGTGGTTTAGTGTTTGGAAAAACATGGACCACATTCTAAAAGCATATATTAGTTGATGTGACTGGAGAGTAGAACATGTGGATTGGAGAACAGTGGGAAATAAGGTTGTTCCAATAAGTCAGGGCACATCTCAGAGAACTTGAAATGATGCTATCCTAAGGAATTGGGGTTTTTTGGAAGGTGATGGAAACATTCAATGCCTATTATTGAAATGGCAGGATTAGTTATCTGCTTCAGGAAGACAACTCAGTGTGAAGGGGCAGAATGAGAAGCAGAAAAACCAGTAAGGTGGCTATGGCAGTAGTGGCACAGGAGTGGCAAGGCACGCTGAACACCAAGAATATGTGATTTCCTCCTGCAAGTCTAACTGGGATTGTTTCATTTTAAGAAAAACAAAAATGTGTTTAAAAATCTAGACTCAAAAGTAACATAATTTATAAAATAATTATTAGCTTTATAAAATGTGTTCCACTTGAGAGCTTTCAAATAGGATTTAAGAACTGATGCCTTCAAACTGTGGTGTTGGAGAAGGCCCTTGAGAGTCCCCTGGACTGCGAGGAGATCAAACCAGTCAATCCTAAAGGAAATCAACCCTGAATATTCATTGGAAGGATTGATTGATTATGAAGCTGAAGCTCCAATACTTTGGCCTCCTGATGCAAAGGGCTGACTCATTGGAAAAGACCCTGATGCTGGGAAAGCCTGAGGGCAGGAGGAGAAGGCGATGACAGAGGATGAGATGGTTGGATGGAATCACTGACTCAATGAACATGAGTTTGAACAAACTCCAGGAGTTAGTGAAGGACAGGGAAGCTTGGGGTTCTGCAGTCCATGGGTTCACAAAGAGTCTGGCATGACCTAGTGACTGAACAACAACAAAACAGAATTTAGGGAATTTTTGCACGTCTTTGGGAACTATGTAAACCAACCTGTATTTATGTAACATTCTGTGTGTATATATATATTTTTTTCTTCATTTTTGGTTTACTGGTTCTTCATTGCTTCTCAGGCTTTTCTGTAGTTGTGGAGAGCAGGGGCTACTCCCTAGTTGTGGTGCACAGGCTTCTCATGGTGGTGGCTTCTCTTGTTCAGAGCACAGACTCCAGGGCACGTGGGTTTCAGTAGTTGTGGCACATGGACTCAGTAGTTGCGGTCCTCAGGCTCTAGCACAGGCTCAGGAGTTGGGGCGCATGGGCTTAGTTGTACTGTGGCATGTGGGATCTTTCCAGACCAAGGACTGAACCTGTGTCCCCTGCATTGGCAGTGGACTCTTTACCACTGAGCCACCAGGGAAGCCCTTGTGTAACATTCCTAAAGGAACATTTGTTGATCAGTCATCACAAAGGAATATAGGGAATATGTATAAATCTCTTAAAACAAATCCCCCCTTTTTACATGGCTCTACTTTCTCTTCTAACCCTTACGAATGCCACTAAATGTCATTAAATCTCTGATAAATTCCTGAAATATTTCCAAAGAAATAGAACTCAGTAGAATTAAGCATTGGAAAACTGTCAGACAATTGCTTCTGGACTTTGCTCTGGATCTACAAGTAATTCCCTGGCTTACAATGCTCACTCATATTCCTGAGCTGTGTGTGTAGACTGAGGCAAGTGTGACACCATGACATGGACTGATTACACAGACTCTCCACTTGTCCAAAGGGAATCACTCATGAGAAGGCAGGCTCTCTCATCTTCCTTTCAGAGGAATTTCATCCCGTGATTCCTGACCCAGAAGTGCAGAATAAACAAATAACAACAATTAGGTTGACTGTTGAGATCTCATCACCCACTTTCTGAGGTCTTAACAGCCAACCGAGAAGCATGTCCTATTGAACCACAGTGTGGGAATGACTGTCACATCTCTATGGCCATGGCAATATTTTGCCTGTCTCCACAGGTTAGCATTTTTCATTTGTTCCCTAAAACGTGATCACATGGATGCTATGAATTATTAATTTCAAATGTGGGAGTGATTATGTTAAAATGAGTTTTTGTCTTTTAGAGATACATAATGAATATGTATAGATGAAATTATATGATGCTGTGACTTCCCAGGTGGTTCAAAGGCTAAGACTCCATGCTCCCAGTGCAGGGGTCCCGGGTTTGATCTTTGGTCAGGGAACTAGATCCCACTTACTGCAACTAAGATTTGTCATGAACAACTAAGGATCCTGAATGCTGCAACTAAGATCCAGTGCTGGCAAATAAATAAATATTTTATAATAAAAAATTTTTTTTAAAGAAGTTCTACAGTGCCTAGAATTTGCTTCAAAATGGCATAAGAGGGCTTCCCTTGTGGCTTGGCAGGAATGAATCTGCCTGCCAATGCAGGAGACATGGGTTTGTTCCCTGATCCGAGATCTCACCTGCCACGGAACACCTAAGTCCTCACGCTCCAACTACTGAGCCTGTGCTCTAAGCCCAGGAACCACAACTATCGAAACCCAAGTGCCCTAGAGCCTGTGCTCCGCAGCAAGAGAGGCCATCGCAGGGAGAAGCCGCACACCGAAACTAGAGGGGAACCCCCACTCGCCACAACTAGACAAAAAGCTTGCGCAGCAATGAAGACACAGCAGAGCCAAAAGGAAAACAAAAAAAAACTTTTAAATGGCACAGGATGGAGGGGAATCAGTGTGAGGGGGTGTGCAGACAAAATAATAATGGCCAGGAGTTGATGATTGTTGATGCTGGAGAATGGGTGCATGGGGAATCATTATATTATTCACTATATAAGTTAGTGAATAATTACCATCTTTATAAAAAGTCTACTATTTATATATTTTAAATTATACATAATTTTAAAATGAGCATTCTTTATACAGAGGGCAGAATTAGCAATGTTTAGATTTGGGGTTGAGCATTGTAGTGAAAAAGGAGAAATGGTGATGAATTGTTTCTAGAAAAATGTGCACGTCCAGTAATTTCTCTTTGTTGTGCATCATACACTATTCTGTCCACCACCTGCCTCTAAGGCTGCATTAACTCTACAGAGGTGTGCTTAGTTTCCTATGCATTTACCTGAGTCTTTTATCTTTATTTCTAGAGTTTTTTCACCTCTGGCTTGTCTTTTTCATTAGATTAGTAATCTCATCATGGCAGGACAATCCATGTAACCAGTCCCTTACTCCGTAGCCCTGAGTACTATGATTTTCCAAGAATGATAAAATTTTAAAAAGATAGGAGATCAGAGTGTAAGTCAATATTTTCCAAAAGATTTGCAACGGGATGGTAATTATCTAAATGTTGGTTTATGTATCAGAAACTGCTGCGTTTGCTTCAGTCACCAACACTGATTCTGAAGTTAAGGGGAAAACATAACTTTTTCTTCCCGTAAAACAGAAATAGGGCTTTCCTGGTGGCTCAGACAGTGAAGACTCTGCCTGCAATGCAGGAGACGTGGGTTCGATTCCTGGGTCAAGAAGATCCTCTGGAGAAGAGAATGGCAACCCACTCCAGTATTCCTGCCTGGAGAATCCCATGAACAGAGGAGCCTGGTGGGCTACAGTCCATGAGGTTGCCAAGAGTCAGACATGACTGAGTGACTAAGCACACACACAGGAAACAGAAATAAATCTAGTCTCAGAGTGATTCTGAGAAGAGAGAGGAGGCAGGAAAGGAGGGACACTGGGGTGGGAATGGCAGCAATGTTCTGTTAACAAATGGTTGTCCCGAAATTCATTCCTGAGTGGTGTGCCCACAGCCTTGAGTCTTGTTTCTTATTTATGTGGCTACAACACGGTTTTGACTCTTCTGAGTAGGTGAAGTTGCTTCCAGAAGTCTTCTGTAGCCACTGTAGCCCCTTTTCCTCTTTTAGCATAGAGTTCTAGAAAATGTTATTGCTGAAAACAGTCCGAGCATCAACGTAAAGGTTATCAAAAGGCCCTGAACATGCAGGGCTCACACCAGATGCCAGGTCTCAGCTCCACCGGCCAGCTCCCCACCTCCACCCAGGTCCTAGACATGTACCTTGGAGGTTTGTTTTGAAAGTTTTAGTCTGATAGGAATCAAGGGATAGATTGAGTACCCCGTTTGAGAACTATAATCTCTAGTTTTGGCTTTCAAAAGGAAGTTCAAAGAAAGTGACTTACCTCTTAAGCAACTGCTAAGATGACAGGGGGAACCGCTGTGAGAAAGTCATGACGTCGTCAGTCTTTTCTGGCCTCCACACAGAAACTGCAACTCTTGGTTAGAAAATAAAGGAGGAAGTGGAGCAGATTCATCAGTGCTTAAGGAGCTTGGTATGCAGAGCTAGGATTTCCTAGCTGTTGGCTGAGGCAACAGGGGGAAACTTTCTCATGTGTGTGCTGGGCCCCCGCTGAGAAGAACTGGGGAGCTGCTGGTTATTAGGCTGGACCTTCTATGTTTTCCTAGAAGCTCACTGGGAACGACTGTGATCTCCTTTCTTCTGTGTCCAACATTGTTCAATACCTCCAGGAAGTTTTCTTTAGAAGAAACCTTTCATAGCAGTTCTGCATGGATAATTAGCAAGTATTGTTGTGATACAACAGGTAAGATTGGATGATTCAAAAGTTTCTTCTGCTAAATGGACATTAATATTTTAAGATTCCCCTTTCCTTGGCCCCTGTGAGTGGTTAAGAAAGTGAGTACTGAACAGGCCCACGCTCCAGGGGTTCCAGACAGTAGACAGAACAGGTAGTCTGAGCTCCTGGGATCTTGTTCAGTTGTTAAAAATGAAAAATCCTGCTCGCTAGAGCATCTAGCCACTCTGCAAGAGTGGTACCTGATCTGAAAGGCACCTTGGCCTTCCCCTGATTGCAAACAGCATGCCTCCAGTCTAGACTATGCAAGGTCTCCTGCTCTGTCTGTTGCTTGAAGGGCTCTGGAATGAGTTGACATCCCCATTCTCCTGCCCATGGCTAGTCCAGTCTGTTTCCTCTTTTGTAAAATACTTCATCAGGACCCGAATTAAATCTCCCTTGCCTTAATTTGGGTCCATTTCTTCTTGATTAGTCATCACAGATGACATAATAATTTGTTTTTAATGCGTTTTATTGAAGTATAGTTGATTGATTTATTTAGGCCTACAGTGCAGTGTGTGGGAATCTTAGTTCCCCAAACAGAGATGGAACCCGCACCCCCTGCATTGGAAACATAGAGTCTCCTGGAAAGCCAGGGAAGTCCCATTGCATCTTTGTTTTGGGTGGTGGGAAGTTGGAAGCACTGGAAGTGCCCATTAATGGGGAGAGCAGAGAGACCACATGCAGTGTGGGCATGTGGTAGAGTATCTGCAGCAATCAAGAATGGTGGACTAGAGTGACATGGTAGTGTGGATGGGTCTTACAAATGAAGTGCAAAGTGGAAAAAGTAAGATACAGTGAGATTTCTATCACAAAGTTATTGATGTAAATTAAAATGCATGCAAACCAGATAACACACACTCCCTTGAACACATACAATTAAAGATATTAAAGGTTGCATGGGACTTTCCTGGGGGTCCAGTGGTTAAGACTCTGTGCTTCCACTGCAGGGGGAATGGTTTGATCCTTGGTCGGAATCCTGCATGCCACACAGCAGGGTCAATAAATAAATATAGCAGTTGCTTGTGGGAAGAAGAACAGGAGTGAGAAATGGGCATAAGAGGAAATAAATGTGTGTATACTTAAAAGTGCAGCCTATGGACCAGTTAAGAGTATAATGTCCTGTGAACTGAAAAGTGTGATTAACATTCAGCACCAAATACCTAATACATTAAAAAATATATGAAATTAAGTGCCCTGAGCATTGCCAAATCCTCAGTTCTGTTTGTCTGGTTTCTCATAAATCCTGTATCCACTTTTTGCATTCAGCAAAGGGTGGCAGTGGATGGGTCAGACTGGGCCCTCAGTCATTGGAATACAGTGTCTTGATTTCTTCAGATATAGGTCTAGATCATCCTAGACCAATGCAGTCATAAAGTACCTCGCACTAAAAACGTTCACCA